GGTACCTTGGGTTACAGACGCTTCAGGTAACAGACTCTGGTAATCCAGAAATAGTACCTCAGGTTAAGAACTTTGCTTCAGGATGAGAACAGAAATTGTGCGGCGGTGGCAGCGGGAGGCCCCATTAGCTAAAGTGGTACCTCAGGTTAAGAACAGTTTCAGGTTAAGAACAGACCTCCAGAACAAATTAAGTTCTTAACCCGAGGTACCACTGTACTGGTGTTTCTTTTATCCATTGTCTCTAGACATACACTTACACATTCAGTGTTCCACCTTAACGTAACCTCTCCACTGAGAATATTGAGCTGTTGGAATAACAAGGTCTTGATTTTGGTCATTAACATAGTTAAAGAAGAGGAACCACATTTCTTGGAAGGAAGGATTTGGAGAAGGGGGTTAGCCTGTAACTGAGGATATAATGGAGAATACTCCATTCCAAAAAATTTGAACATGGGGGCATTCCCACCAATAAGGAATAAATGAACCAAGCTTTCCACATTTCTTCCAACATAAAGGGGAAGGGAGGGATTGACTGGTGTCCAGTGCCATCAGAGGATAACCTTGGTGGAGGGACTCTTGCATCACTCCAGTGGCAGCCAATGGGAGGCTGCTTTAGCTGGGCAGAGGAACACCTCAGCCCAATCTGCCACCACCCCGTCCAGCATGGCACAAAGCTCTTCTTTGGATTCCTCTGCCCCTTGATTGATTGATTGATTGATTGATTGATTGATTGCTTCCCAAAGTAATTTAGCAATAAAAACTCATATAAAAACAATTTCAAATCCAATACCAGTACAGGCTGGGATAGTAAAAATGTTTAATCAGTGCTACAACACTCTTTCATTTAAGTGCTATTGTGTGTGTTTTTAAGGGGGGGGAGGATTTTTAACACTCAGGGTTTTTTTGCACCCCTAAGTAAATTAAGTTTTGTTTCCCTCTGCCCATTTGTGGTTTGTGTCTCTGCAGTGGTGACCTCTAGAGAATGTTCCATGACCCAAGGAGGAGGAATACCAGTACATAGGGTTGCTGGGTGCTGACTCTCTTAAAATTACACAAGTCCTCTTAATAGACGCTTGCCGTGAAAGTTGCATGCGGCGAGAGGTGTGCTTCATCCCATTACAGGGCTGCAGTGTTAAGAATTCAGCAGCTGGTGGAATTTTCTTCTCTCTGCAGTTCTTAAATATAGATCTTTTTCAGAGACGCACTGCCCAGTCCTAGCTCCTCTGTTGTATACTTCAGTCCAGAGCCAATTTAACATAAAGTTATGGGCTTTTAGGCTCAAGTTCCATGGACTGGCTGGTGTTGTCTTCCTCCAGCATGGAAGATGAGCTGTTGTCCAGAAGCTTACATATACCATATTTATGTGAATCTAACTCTGCATCGAACCTAATGTGCACCCTAATTTTTGTGACATAATTTGGCCAAAGAAGGTGTGCATTACCTTCAAGTAAATACGGTAGCTGCTTTTGCACATACACCAAAAGTGTGGAGCTCTACACAGGTATGAATGATCACAGAAATATATACCGGTATTTCTATCCTCCATTTCTGGCTCCTGGATTTCTCAAAGAGCAATTTCTGGTTAGCTGGCACTGGCAACCCTAGGAAGTGTATGGGAAAGACCACACCAGCACTAATAGCTTTATCCACACTTCCTCTTGTTCCGCTGCTTTCCTTCTTGGAGCAGATGGCAATTTGGGCTTTCTCCAGATTGACATTTGCTCTGATTGAGTACTAAAGAGAGGGTTTTCCCCAAGAAAGGAGTGGGACAAGGGGAAACTGCTCAGACTCATGCCTAGAAAGTGTGGGTCAAGTGGAAAACTGCTCTGGCCCATGTTTCTAGGCACAAGACAAGCAGAATGGTGGACGAGCCTCGACGCCTAAATTGATGGCATTCCAACAGTAATGAACACATTTAATGTTACAGCAGGGCTTTTTATTCGACTTTCCTTTGTTTCTAGCTTTTGTAGTTATATCTGTAGTTTTATTTTGCTGTGTTAGCAGGTGGTTAGTTCATGAATAAAAATAATGTGTGCACTGCACACACACATCTAGGCTGCCTGTGGAGTCCAGCCTGCTGCATTTATCACACTTGTCTTCTGGGTTTAGACAGTCGATAGTCCTGCCAGTGCTTATTAACTGCCTAAAACACAGGGACCCTTCACAGGCATTAGAGGAACAACTTACCTATGTAAATTTTCCCAAATCAGCAGAAGCTCTTCTTCAGGAAAGCACCACAGATCAAAAGACTGGCTATGCTAAGTCAACGAAGGATGCTGGCCATTTTCCTGCGTCAAACCACCTTACTGCCTAACATGCCTCCTTTGCAAAATGTTTTTGATGGCTTTAATCCATGGTGCCATATTAACAGCAAGTTCCTTTTTTCCATGTCCTTGAGGGCATTTTGAACCTCAAACCAACCAAGCTGGTGAGTCTAGCCCTTCTTACGGAACTTCAGAATGCAGAAGTACCCACATCTGGTCTAAGTCACACTTATTGTGGTCTGGATGAGGCACCAAATCCTGCAGAAGTCTTACTTTAGAAAAGATATTAATACTGCCTCACTCCATGTGCCAGTCTGCTTTTTTTGGTGGGGTGGGGGACCAGGACAAGTGCCTTCCTCTTGTGCTGGGAGGAAAGGGGACTTCCTGTGCTCATTCAGTGCTTCCCATTCCTACCTTTTTGCACGCTGGCCTCATGCTGACTCAGTCTTTATCAAGCCAACTTCCCCCTTCCTTCAACCCCCTGCCCCACAACAGACATATAGCGCTAGGGAATCTTAAGGCATTAAGATGTCCTGATTTTGAAGTATTGTATTTGCTCCATTGTCTAGGCCAGTGGTTCCCAAACATTTTCTCCTACCACTTGTAAGCAAGAAGGCAGGCGTGTGGCCTTGTAAGAATCAAGACTGGTTTGGCAGTGTTCCATTTGCCCTAATGGATCAGCCAAGTTTACTGCTGCCAAGTAAACATCCAAGAGATGAGGTTCCGTTTATTGTACAGTGGTACATTGGTTCTCAAGTGCCTTGTTATTCGAACAACTTGGAACCCAAACTCTGCAAACCCGGAAGTGTTCCAGTTTGTGAACTTTTTTTGGAAGCCGAATGTGCTTCGTTTTGAGTGCCACACTTCCGTTTTGAGTGCCACATTTCCATTTTGTTATGCTTCCATTTTGAGTGCCACACTTCCATTTTGAGTGTCACACTGAGGTCTGTCTGTTTTTGCTATTTATTTTGTGTTTGTGTTTTTGCGGCTCTTTTTTGGTTTTTGTGACTGTGTGGAACCCAGTTCAGCTACTGATTGATTGATTTGGTGACTGCAGTACATTGTTTATTGTTTTCATTTTATGGATCAATGGTCTCGTTAGATAGTAAAATTCATGTTAAATTGCTGTTTTAGGGCTTGTTTTTAGAAGTCTGGAACAGATTAATCCATTTTGCATTACTTTCCATAGGAAAGTGCGCCCTGGTTTTGGAACGCTTTGGTTTTGGAATGGACTTCAGGAACAGATTAAGTTTTAGAACCAAGGTACCACTGTAATAGCCAAGCAACATGAGTTCAGTTGTGCTTATTCTCAGGCGTAAATCCCCACCCACCAGTTGAGGATCAGTCCTTTACATACCCCTTAGAAGTAATCTAGTTATAGGTAATCTAGTTATAGGTTAATGCTAGAATAAGTGAGCTTGGGATCTTTTGTGTTAAGATTCTGGAAACAGGCCTGAGGGAACAACAGACCTGTGTATTGGAGTTGTTAAATTTTGGTCCTGCTTTTCTCTCAATCTGTAAATTTTCTATATAAAGGTTTCGAGAGGTTTTTGTGGCTTGTTTTTTGTTTTTGTTTTGTAATGAAGTCATAAATTGCCTGTATTCTGATCCTTCCTTCCTTAGGGAGGCAATTTTATTATTTATTCTCAGTTCCTGAGAGTGAAATAATTTAGTCTCCCATATTGACTACTTCTGCAGCTAGCCCATCTGAACTGTGGTGTTCCTTTTCAGAAGCCTTGAATGAGGAGACTGACAGATGGGAGCATGATAGCTGGAACATGTTATCTCTCTTCATGTGCCGTATTAAGATTGTCCAAGTCCTGAAAGCACAAATTATTATAAAAATGAAACCATGGCCTTTGTTAGCTCAAGAGCAGCAAAAGCATGAATGACTACTTATTCAGTCATTTGTAGCATCTTCAGTGGAGACAGGCTGCAAAATGTGTAACATGAAACCTAATCAGAAGAATTGTTCGATCCTCAGTTGTGTTGAGTTCTTCACTTCTCTTTCTGACCTAATATGTATCTTTCAGATCAGATTCTGCCATGTTCATTTCCCTATCCAAACCAATTTAACCTTGCACCAGGTGCAGGAAATGGAGTGATGATAGTTTGCTTCAATACAGAAATAATTTTCATGTTCGCTTTTAGTTGATTTTGGCCAACATCCTACAAAGCCATGTGCATATGCAGCTGGTGGTGTCTTTGAAGTTAACATGGCTGAATAAGCAAGCTTATTTTAAGCTGAATAGCAACTTGCCAGTTTGGCCATGAACAGAAACTTCAAAGCTGATTTCTGGCTGCACATATACATATCTCCTGTCATATGCACATACACTTTGTACGATTGGACAACTATGACTTTTTTTAAACTCCTTGTGCCAAGCCTAGAACAACAAATAAACTCACTAAGAGAGATATACAGTACATTAACTGAAAGCATGCTTCCATACATGGACCTTTAAACCAGTGCAAAGTGCAGTTCACATGCAGTCCTGGTGTCTGGTTATACACATGGTGGGGCACATAAATTTGGGCTTGCACAATATTCCTATACCATGAAAAAAGTGTGCCTGGGTTTTATGAGCAGGGCCTGCACTTGTATTTAGGCACATAGATCCCAGGTCTCTGTTTACATTAAAGGTTCTATGCATGGTCAAAGGCCATGCACAAGCCTGAAATTGGTTCTTCTATTACATATATATAATCCACACACTTAGGTTGTGCATTAATCGTCCCAGGATCAATGCAGAATTTCACACTTTATTGATAAAAGCTATACAGAGACATACGTTTGCCAACACTATCTTATAATAGTTTTCTTCTTCTGAATGTTGGCTTAACTTAGCTTTAAAAAAAGACATACGTGCAAGGAGTGGGTACTGCTCATGCAAAATCAGAGGCTACTAGATGCAAAAGAAGTATACTGATATGCTATGTCACATTAAAAACATAAGATGGTGGGTAAGAATCAGTAGTGTGTGGCACCTACTTTATGGAACAAGCTCTTCACAGAAAGACTGCTAAGGAAGATGCTAATCAAGCATATTGACTTCAGTCTTGGTGCTATGGAGTCCTCTTCTCACACAGCCTTCTGCCTGTTATGGCAGGCAGGACTCTTCAAAGCTAGGTTTGTGTATGTTAGTGGTCTGCAACACTAGGCAGGTGTTGTTAAACAGGGGCTGCTTTTTCTAGAACACAAACTGGCAATCCCTTGACTTCAACAGATGCCATTTCCTTTCCAATGGTGGCACAAACTATAATGTGTGCCTATGCAGCTTCCAGGCTACTTAGTATTTTAGTTAATGTTCCATTTAACAGAAGTACTAAAAGACACTCAAACTCAGGACACAAGAGAAACGTGCCAAGACGAAGGCATGCTTGGCAAATTCACACTGTGATCAACTCCTGCCTGGAAACCAATGTCCCCATTGTGGAAGGACGTGTGGATCCAGAATTGGCCTCCACAGTCACTTACGGTCTCATTGTTCAAACCGTGTTTATGGAAGACAATCTTACTCGGCTACAAGTGATGGCCAAAGAAGAAGAAAGAAGCAGCAGCAATAACAACACTCGTCCCACGTTTGATTTGCCAGCAGCTAGTATGCAGAGACAAACTAGGCATGCTGATCCTAAACCCATCCAGTAAAAAGTAATCCTGTTGCTTTAAGTAAGACTTCATTTCAGGTGAGTGAGTAAGGAGCAGCATCTTACAGCACCAACACAGGCAGATTCGGCCACCCACCCACCTACCCACTTTGATCTAGCTGCATATACTCCAAATACAGAGGCAACGTTCATAGATAGCATCATAGAGTTGGGAAGGGGTCCCGTGTGTCATCCTGTCCAACCCTGGAAGGAATCTCAGCTAAATCATCCATGGCAGATGGCCATCCAACCTCGGCTTAATCCTGTAGCAAGAAAAGGCCACATATAAGGTACATTTCTATGCAGATGACACAACCTTGATGGCAGAAAGTGAGGAGGAATTGAAGAACCTTTTAATGAGGGTGAAAGAGAAGAGCACAAAATATGGTCTGAAGCTCAACATCAAAAAAACGAAGATCATAGCCACTGGGCCCATCACCTCCTGGCAAATAGAAGGGGAAGAAATGGAGGCAGTGAGAGGTTTTACTTTCTTGGGCTCCATGAGCACTGCAGATGGTGACAGCAGTAACGAAATTAAAAGACGCCTGCTTCTTGGGAGAAAGGCGATGACAAACCTAGACAGCATCTTAAAAAGCAGAAACATCACCTTGCCAACAAAGGTCTGTATAGTTAAAGCCATGGTTTTCCCAGTAGTGATGTATGGAAGTGAGAGCTGGACCATAAAGAAGGCTGATCGCTGAAGAATTGATGCTTTTGAATTATGGTGTTGGAGGAGACTCATGAGAGTCCCACGGACTGCAAGAAGATCAAACCTCTCCATTCTTAAGGAAATCATACCTGAGTGCTCTCTGGAAGGGCAGATCCTGAGGCTGAGGCTCCAATACTTTGGCCACCTCATGAGAAGAGAAGACTCCCTGGAAAAGACCCTGATGTTGGGAAAGATGGAGGGCACAAGAAGAAGGGGACGACAGAGGACGAGATGGCTGGATAGTGTTCTCGAAGCTACGAACATGAGTTTGACCAAACTGCGGGAGGCAGAGGAAGACAGGAGTGCCTGGCATGCTCTGCTCCATGGGGTCACGAAGAGTCGGACACGACTAAACAACAACAAGGTACACTGCGTATACTGAGGCAGCTCCCTTCCTCAGGGTGACTCTTCGCGCCCCAGCCCTGAAATGACGCTGAAAACGGTGCTCCTGGGGTTCAATTTAAGCCCCAGTATCTGGGAGCCAATAGCTCCCTCCTTCTCCAGGCCATGCCCGCTAAGGCTTCTCCCAACTGCCTGGCTGGGCGCGCAGCGGCCTCCTCCTCCACTTCCCTCCCGTCACGTAAGCGGCAGCGGGTCACGTGCCTGGAGCCGGCAGCGGAGCGAGGGGGGGGGCGGAGGCAGAAATCCCGGCCTTGTGTCGCTCGGACGTGCTCGCGCCATGCTGCTGCCGTTGCCGCTGCCGCTCCCCGGCGGCCGTTCCCCGCCGAGGCCGGCCTCGCTCCCGCCCCTCCTCGCCCTCCTCCTGCTCGTCCTGCTGCCGGGCCCCGCGCGGCCCATCTCCTTCCAGCTGCCGGGCAAGGCCCGCAAATGCCTACGCGAGGAGATCCACCGAGACATGCTCGTCACCGGCGAGTACGAGGTCGTCGCCCCGCCGGGCTCGTCGAGCGGCCCGTCCGCCAACCTCAAGGTGCAGAGGGGAAGCGGGGGCTTCGCGCGGGGGGGGACACCGGGAGGCTGACCCAGAACAGGCGCAGGCAGGCAGCGCCCCCACCCCCCGCCCGTGTTATTCACAGCGCGCCGTGAGAGGGCGGGGAGCCGCGGGCGGAGGCGTTGCGTAGGCCTCGGGGCGCTACCGGCGGCTCTGCTGCCTTCCAGGCCCTTCCCTTGTAAGGACACGTCAGCTTTGCGCGGCTCTCCTGATAAGGCCGAAAGGCGGAAGGCGGAACTAGGCCTCAGCTCCGGGCCCTCCTCTGCTCTCTTGAGGAAACACTCTTCCGTGCCTCGTACCCACGCTCTTTTAACTTCCCATCTCTTCCCCGCCCTCTCTGAGTTTTGCCCTCCTTAGTACAAGTTACAGGTAGGTAGCCGTGTTGGTCTGCCACAGTCGAAATAAAAATTTAAAAATCCTTCCAGTAGTCTCTAAGGTGCTACTGGAATGATTTTTTAATTTTTTAAAATTTTATTTTGTTCCTCCTTAGTACAGTAGTCCTTTGCTTTTGAGCATGCAGCGCATGCAGCCCGTAGTCCGAGGGGGCTGTTGCATCCTCAGAATAAGAAGTGGACTGAAGAACTCCATCCCAAGTTTCAAGAGAAGGAAAGCATTCCCACCCCCCACCATGAAACAGAAAACAAAGAGAGTGGTTGTTAGGCTGCCAGGTGATGGAAAGATGAATTCCAGTGATGAAATGGTGCAACGGTTTGTAGTTTTCACGACAGCAGTGATGCTACCAAGACAGGTGTATCCCCATGCTGTGAAAAGCTAGGGCTCTATGACACGGTGTTTGAAATTCCCCAGGCGCCAGGTGCGTTTTGCTATTGGGGTGAGTCCAGTTGCAACAATGTGGTGGAGATTTCTTGCCAGGTTGGCAACTGGCATCTCCATCGAGCCTGCTGATTCAGGCGCAGCAAAAGACACGTCTTGTTCTTCTGCACTGCTGTGTGAATCATGGACCCCTTGCTGGGCATCTTAGTCCTCCATTGTCACATCAAGGAAAGTAAGTGCAGGGCTGAGTACAGATATAGCTGACTGTCCCACAGCTTTTCCACAGGCCACACAAATGGAACTCACTGACCACAGTTAAAAAAACCTCTGCCTTAAGTACATAGTTAATACCATTTCCACTTTGTGTGTTTCTCCTCACATACTGGGACAAGTGAATTGTGGTAAGAGTAAGCTATAGTCAGCCAGTGTAGTTGAGATCATAGAATTGTAACATTCAAAGGGACCTTGAGGGTTATCTAGTCCAACCTGCTGGCAAACAGACATTCTGTTGTGGTGGCCACAACTTAGGCTTAAGGTGCCATTTAGCGCCTAGCTTCTATATCTGAGTTTCTAACACTGCTGTGACATTCTGATATTAGTTTTTGCTGCTGCTTTTGAATATAAGAGCAGAACAATTTGTTACAAAGCATATGGAGCAGCCCCATTTTGAGCAATCATCCTGGTACTAATATAGTTAAACTTGGCCCATGTTCAATTATTGGTACGTTGTGTGTTCCTATAGGGTTAGATAGTGGCCAATAATGTAGGGCCCTTGAAATATGGCTGTTGGTTTTCAGCAGCATCCCCAGGTTCTTTCTTGTGTTGATCTGTCCTAATTGACCAAGAAAAGGATTTTGCTTTGGTCTTGGATACCACGCAGTATGACCAGTCTGGGGAAGAATAATTGCAACTACTAGAGTGACGTGTCAGTTTTGGGATACACAGTCTGTTACATGCAACAGAGACTGCATTCCTAACCACCCTTCCTCTGGAATAAATCACATTGAAGTTGTGGGACTTATTTATGTCTGAGTCAGCATGCATAAAACCAAGCAGAAAGGCCTGTGGCCCAGGTTTCTGTATATTAGTGGTGGGTAGATTTCATGCTGGCAGGATCTCCTTTGCTTTATTACTAGAATACTAACAGCCACCAACCAAAGCCAGGTGCAAAATAGTGGCTAAAGAGGCAATGTACTTTTGAAATAAACGAAGAGGATGTAACCCTGGAATTTGTTTTCGTTCCACAGCTTTCCTGTCACACAAAAAACCATTATTGGTTTCTAATATTCCCTTCCTTCATCATAGTAGTCTAATTTAGAGGAAATTAGGGACAGGTTGGCGTAATGGTTAGACTATGACCTGGGAGACCAGGGTTCGAATCCCCATTCAGACATGAAGCTCAGTGGATAACCTTGAGCCAATCACCATCTCTTAGCCTAACCTACCTCACAGGGTTGTTGTGAGGATGAAATGGGGAGGAGAACCATGTATACCACCTTGAGCTTGGAAGATAAAGGTGGTATATAAATGTAATAAATAAATACGTGTTGGAAGGCACCCTGAAAGTGATCTTATCCAGCCCCTGTTCAGTGCAGGTTCTGTTACATAAGGTGTAACTACAGCACCCATGACAGATAGCTCTCCGCCCTCTGTTTAAATATCCCAGTGAAAGAGAGCCCATCTGAGGTAGTCTGTTCCCTTTTTGAACAACTAATAACATAAGATGAGCCTGTTGGATCAAACCAGTGGCCCAGCTAGTCCAGCATCCTTATCTCACAGTGGCTGACCAGATGCCTGTGAGAAACCTGCAAGCTGGACACAAATACAACAGCGCTCTACTCACCCATGATTCCCAGCAACTGACATTCAGAGGCATAATGCCTCTGACAGTAGAGGTAAAACATGGCCAATCATGGCTTGTAGTTGTTGTTAGCCTTGTTTTCCATGAATTTGTCTAATATTCTTTTAAAGCTCTTAGTGTTAGGAAGTTAGCTGAAATTTGCTTCCATGGAATTTTCACCTGTTGCTTTTAATCCTGCCCTGTGGAGCAACAGAGAAGAAAAGTATTCTCCATCTTTTCATGACAGCCCTTCAATATATTTGAAGACCATCATCACATTCCTCCTCCCTCCCCTTCCATCTTCTCTAGGCTAAACACCCACTAGCTCTTTCAACCGTTCATCATAAGACTTGGTTTCCAGGTTCCTCACCATCCTCTTTTGGAGAAATGCTTCCTGCTGTGGAAGTTCTTAAGCGTTCAGAAAGATTCTGGGAGTTAAAATGTAATTTTTAAAAATTAGTTGTATCTCTTGTAAAAAGGCACTTGCTACATAGGTGGGTGGATTCTGCCCCCCTGCCCCAGTTCTGATGTTAGTTTTATACAAGTACTTTTTACACCATGTTGTCTGATGTCAATTTGCCCCCGTTCCTCTCTCTGTGTGTATGCTTTCCTTTGTGAGACTTAGAAACAAAAAATTATAAACATATAAAAATTAAACAGCCTGCTTATGAAAGTACATTTTTCAGAAGTGCAGCACTACACATGTACTTGTGGGTTGGGTGGGTGGGAGTTGGATGCTACTACACAATGGCTTCTTTCACCCATAAATGCTACAAAGCATGAATTGTCCTGTAAATTAGCAAATCAGCCATGACTTGTTTCTCCAAAGCTTGGTTTGTTTTCCAACTATTCTTGCCTTGTGGCTCTGTAGCTTGGAGTGGGCTTGGCAAACAGTTAATGGTTAAGCAAAGCTGTTGGGTTTAGACATAATATAGACCCAAATATAGTTAGAATCATAGAATTGTAGAGTTGGAAGGGACCCCAAGGGTCATCAAGTGCAACATCCTGCAATGCAGAATTTCTGCCCACATTCTGCCCTGGGTAGGCTCGAACCACAATCCTTCTGGTTAACAGCCACACACACGGACCCATTGTGCCAAAGGAGTTGAAACACGCCATGTTTCATAAGCCAGCGACAAACCATGGCTTCACATAGTTTATGGCTAGCAAACAAACCACCATTAATACATTGGACTGGGTTCAGACATCAAAACAAACCACAATTTGACTAAACAAACCATGGCTTAGCATTAATTACCTAAAACTGCTGTTAATGATGCCTGTGTTTCACCCCCACCCAAATACTCATTATCCAGGAGTAGTCTAGCATGCTGGTCAATGAAGTCTTAACTTAGTTTGAGATTGTACATTAAGAATTCCTTCCCCCAGAAGGCCACACTGATGTAATAGGGTGTTATATGCCAGCAGCCTTTGTTGGGTCCTGACTTTGGCAATTGATGAAATAACTACAGAACAAATATCCTCTGCTCCAGGCATGTAAAGATCTTCTCTGAGGACTGGGGTGGGAGTTTTGTTAGAATAAAGTTATAAATTCAAGCAAAAAAGCAGTTGGTCTCTGGTGGGGACCCCCAGCTTGCTTACCCCTCCAAGGCCTGGGGCAAGTGTACCTGGCTGCCCCCACATCTGCATGGGCCTGCTCTGCTCATCCAGAATATAAAACTTTTTATTCTGGGGTTTAAGTCTGGGTTTTTTTTACCAGCTGCTCACATTAGCACCTTAACTTGTCAGGGTAGACAAGTTATTAATGATCACACACTAGTTTATTTTCCAAAGACAAAATTCTGCCTGAAGACCTTCGTCTCAGATCAGCTGTTGACTGGGATTTATCATTTGCAGTTAACAGTGATTCTTTGTCATGCCATTTTCACGTGTTTTAATAGCTCATCACTGTAGTGCTTGCTCTCTGATCATGACATCCCATAATTAACAGTTAGGCTTTCCGTTCTGGAAGAATGTACCCAATGTGCTAGTTGGTTACGTAGTGGAGGTTCTTTAATGGCTGTCATCCTACTTGATCTCAGTCTCGTGTGGGTGCTTATTGTTCAGGCTGGCAGTATGGGGAGAAAAGCTGTGTTTGTGAAGGATGATGATGTTACTGTGCATAATGCCAGAGTATTGTGGTGGAACATTCCCCCCTCCCTGAATGGCTGCTCCCCCACAATTGTGTAGGCTGTCTTTTAAGCAGTTTGCCCATACTAGGTATACTTAGGGCAACGTGCCTGCCAGTATGTAGGCAACTATCTTGTTGTGCCAGATGAAGAGAAAAGTAGAGCTGGCATAATATATTTTTGGACGTGGCCCATCTAATGGTGGAAAGGAACTAGTTTGTGTGTGCATGCATCAGTCACTTCTTTATGGAAGAAACATGTTTAAGGAGAAGCTATTACTGCAGTAAACAAGGCCTCACATGGCTTTTAACATGCTCTCATGGGGCCTTTAAAGCTTGCTTTATTTTATGTCTGCTCCTTTGGCAGTGGGGGAGCATACAAATGTGCTGTCTCCTAGAGCTTATGCAATTATAAATTATGCAATTATTGTCTGGTCACTGTAAACCCAAAACTTGTCCTACTCAGAGCTGCTGATAATGTATGTTTTGTAAAGTGAATGAGTTCATCCCCCCCCCCCCCCATTCCTACATCTTCTTCTGACTTTTGTTTTTAGTGGATGCTTTTATGGGAATGTCTTCAACTTAACATGCCAGAGGCTAATAATGGAGACAGTATAAATGAATTTGAAATTAAAATTTTAGCAAAAATCTCTTCACCTATGGTGGGGACAAGGAAAGCACAGAAGTCAATTGCCCAAGTGTTCTAGGAAGATCTTGGTCTTATCTTCCTCCCCCTCCCATAAAATTTAACATAGAACTTGAATGTTAACTACTTTGCCTCTCTTATTTTTCATATTTCCTACAGATCACTGACTCAGCTGGGCATATTCTCTATGTCAAGGAGGATGCAACTAAGGGCAAATTTGCTTTCACCACGGAGGATTATGACATGTTTGAAGCCTGCTTTGAGAGCAAGCTCCCTGTGGGTAAGTGTGATAGTCCCTGTTTGGTGCTCCTGGTATGCCTCTTCTCTACTTTCTCATCCATCTCTTGTAGGATCCATTTAAAAGGGTAATGTTGAGCAAGGGCCAGGGGTATCTGCTCTGCCAAGTGTTTTGAGGTCTTCTGAACTGAGAGAGAACATTTAATCCCAAGGGAGTCAGTTCCTAAAATTACTAATGAATGCCAGTTGTTGCATTCCTTCCCAGAAGTGTTTGCATTTGAGCAGTGCTGAAATCACAATTGCCCACCCAAAGGAAATTTTATAATCCAGAATGAGACACAAGAAAAACAAGATCATAGAAGAGGACTGGTTGGCTATGACAGAAGTCTTAAGAGTCTCTTCATGAAAGAAGTGCTTTGCTGTCTTCCACAGCAGATAGAGATGTGCAGTTACTGGAATTTTATTTAGGAGAGAGCCCAAATTCTCCACACTGTAGCCTATACACACCTGACATTGAGAGGGCACGGGCACAACCAACTGTTCCCAGCCAGTAAACAGAGAGGGGAAAGGAAGAAACACAGACACTGCAGTTGATTCTCCTTTCTGCTTCAGGTAGAAATTAACACCATTGTTCCCTATTCATATGAGACATCCAAGAGGGATTCCACCATCAGTACACTGATTTTTCTGTACAAGAGGCAAGGGAATATTAAATTTGGTCTTTATCATTCCCTCACTCAGCTAATACTCTTCCTGTGCTGTGTGGTTCTTCAAAGCCAGTGTTAAGTCTTACTGTTCCCTACTCTATTGGTCCATGCTCCCCTGCTTGTTCACTTTCCACTTCTTGGAGATGGAACTCAGTCTCTTCATTAATCAGTTGATAGCATCTCTAAACCAGCCAGAAACCCTTTTCTTGTAGAGACGTGGCACTTAGTTATAGTGACCGAGGGCCTGTTGCATTGGTATATTCTATCACGAGAGGGAGAAGGGGAAGTGTGCAGGACGTTGATTATGTACCCAGATCTTGAGGGCAATTGCTTAACAAGTCTTAGAGCTGACATTTCCTTTGGGAGTGACGCATTTGCCCCTCTTCCTCATGAAGATTTGGGTTGAAGTTTAGGGCAAATAGTCCACAACACCTCCAGGCACATTTAATGCTGTTTCTCAACACAAATGGACAGTGGTCATCTTGTTGAGGTTCAAGGTATCTTCCTGCTTCCACTGTCACTGTCACTGTTGGAACTTCAAGGTCATATATATGTCTTCTGTGCTATGAGCCCATGATGTACTTAGGTAGGACAGTCTCAATGTTCTAAATCTCAGAGATTTATTTATTTATTTGTTAATTTTGTGCCCTTCCTTTCCACAAGTTAACAGTAATACAAGTTCAACAAAATATTAAAAATACAATCAAACAGCAATAAAAGTTTTTGAAAAACACATAAAAACAAACAGGTGACTCAAAAGACTTGTTAAAACCAGCTAACAACATACTTACCAGTGAACATATGTGTTATGGCCTTTCTAAATGTAAAAATACCTCTAGTCTACCAACAGAGGTCTATACTAGAAAAACTATGTTGGAGTGAAATTCACTACTGTTTTTAGGGGAAGAGTATATTTCTTGGCTAAAGTTGTTTGCTTTCTGAGAACAGAAGAATATAGGTGTGGGATTTTATTAGAATACTTTTAAAATACGTTAACCTGATTACATGGGTGACGTAAATGTAACAGCATCATAAATGGGAGATAGACCTAAGTAGGCTCTTTAGTGCTATTCAGTAGCATCAGCAAAATAGTGTGTAAGGCTCCTAAAGTGGAGCCTCATGACTAAACTCTAGGTTTTAAATTTAATATATTTATTAAATGATTCAAGAGTAAAGACAATCAGAGATGGTAGGTTGCATTAAAAATGAAAGATTAGCAAAATACCCTGTATTGACAAGGAAGGATCCCAGGACACTATTCTGAGCAGTGTCCATCAAAGGCAGATGGGGACAAAGCAGCTATGAGTTCTGTTGAGGGGCCCCGAGAATACAAAAATTTAGTCAGGTTTGTCAGATTCTACCTGTATGCATGAATGGTGTTGTTTAGCCTACCAAGGAAGGTTTTAAGAGGTGTAAATTTGAGGAGATATTTCTTTTCCCTCCCTCCCAGACACACTGTGTGGAAACATGCAAAACTTTAGTTATGTGATTGCTAGCTTTGGGGGTTATGCCTTAATAGTTTATTGTGCAGAAAAAGGGGAAGAGGTTGTTACAGACTGTTTTTGCCTTTTGAAGGATGTTGAATTGTCTGTGTCCCAAGATAACTAACGGCAGCATCCTGTTCATCGCAAACCTTGGTAGTTCCTATTACCAGCACAATGCACAGTAGCAGAGTGCCCCTAAACAAATAATCTCTACAGTTCTTTGTATTATTACATTATTGGCATTAAGAAGTTTAGACATGTTTTCTGCAGAGTAGCTGAGGATCCTGTGGCGGTCAGTGGCTGTAGGGTTTTAGCTGCCTTGAGAAGGCAGAGCTGCAACATTTGAGCGGTTGGGCCAGGTGAGGCCTGAGCAACTGTGATTTCTCAAGCACTTGGCCACAAAAATGAGGAAGAGGAAGCGAAAGGCACAGCTTTTTGCGCAGGGACCCCAGTAGAGGGAAGAGCTGCCTTGCAAGACTTAGGGAGATCCCCATTGTGAGCGCTAAATTGTTATCCCAGAGCTCTTCCCTTGCGTCACACATTCTGCTTTGGGGGCAGCACAGTTGTGCTTGTGTAATTCTATGCTTGTAACAATAAAATAATAATAAAATTATTATTTATATGCCACATATCTGACTGGGTTGCCCCAGCCACTCTGCTTCTTGTATTGTGTGTGGAAACTTGGAATATATTGCATGTGTTACTCACTTGCCTTATTGCTGTTTTGTATCCTCCACACCAGAATGACTTTTAATGATCTACTATGTAAAAATTAATTCTGCATAAGTATTACTATTGTTTTTTTACAACAAGCACGTGTTGAAAGTCTAACCTGGAACATTCCTTTCATTCTCTTGTTCACCCTTTATTTATTTATTTATCTATTTATTTTGCTGTTAAAAGTGGAAGACTTTGTTAAAAAGGTCCTTGCCACAGGACCGATAGCCAGAAATTGTTTTCTAACCATCAAACCTTAAGTGACTTTTTTGAATGAGAGTCATATATACTTCATAACATTGTGTAACCAAAACAGTCTTAATTTTATTATGAGCTTGGATTTAGTCCAATTCTCTAAGCAGCTACTGTACTGAGACTAGATGTTGCTGGATTCTTGGTTCTGATCTGAGGAACAACTTTGCAACTAAAAGTGCATGATCTGTAGGTTGCCTTGTTGTAGTGTAAATAGTTGTCCCATATTGATTTTTATATGTTCATCAATTCCAGACTGTTATGGGCAGCGTTTGGCTAGAATGTTGTGCAAACTATTTTTCATATAAAGCCTGCATTAGCAGTGATTCCTGCATTTCAGGAGATTGGACTAGATTGGCTGCCCTTCTCCCTCCTCGGGGAAAAGCCCCCAAAAGCCGCACACACACTCCGCGCGCTCTTTAAAGGGAGCGTGGCTCTTGGGGGAGCCTTCCTCCCGCTGCCCAGAAGAGGCTTCACACGGCTATCCCAGAAGCCAGAACAGCAAGAGGCTATCCCAGAAGCCAGATCCCTCTTGCTGTTCTGGCTTCTGGGATTCAGAATATTTTTTTTCTTGTTTTCCTCCTCCAAAAACTAGCCGCGTCTTATGGTCTGGTGCGTCTTATATAGCGAAAAATACGGTATGTCACTGAAATTAGTATTTTTCAAATTCACTGTGTAAATTAGTTTCCATGGCTATAGCAGAAATTCAAAGCTTGCATAAAAACTGGAAACAATGATTCTTGTGGCATGTGTAGCAGGGGACTGCCTTGCTCATTTACCATTATGAAAACTACATATATTTATGGCATCTTGGAAGCTGTCAGGAGCAGCACCATGGAAAGTACTTGTGTTTCTATCCAGTGAAGAGCAGTTCTCTTCCCTACCCCCACATTGCGTTTCATATACTGTGCTGTGCTGCCACCTACCTGTGAATTGGGACACGGAAATAAATCTATCTTCATTGGCAGAATCATAGAAGAAGGGTGGGTATATAAGAATATAAGAAATGTCTGCTGGAGTAGGCCAGTAGTCCATCTAGCCCAGCCTCCTGCTCTCACTCTGGCCAACCAGGTGCCTGTGGCAAACCTGTAAGCAGGATTTAAGCCCCAAAGTGCTCTCTCCTCCTGTGGGAACCAGCAGTTGCCCACTGGCTGCATGAAGTTGACAGAAAGGATCTAGAAACTTCTGGTGACCATTCCTTAAAGGCACTGCACCAATGCCAACACCTGGTCCCTTCCCTGTTTCATGGAGGAGGTGAGACCACAGCCTAATGTATCTGATCCCAGTAGTAGAACAGTGTTAGAAACTCAGGTGTATAAGCTATCTCCAAATGGCAGCTTAAACCTGGGTTACAGTTGCCACAGCAGAATGTCTAGGCACCATTTTCCCCCAGTGGGATTTTGTCTTAGTCTTATTATTTCATTTCTATACCACTTCATATTTTAAAAGGGGGGGAAAAATCTCAAAGCAAAGCGGTTTACAACACACCAAAACATCAAATAAAACAATCCTGAATAAAATAAATTAAAGCTTCAAGGAAAATATTTCAGATCCATCTCTAAGTGACATTTTGCTTTCCCCATATTTATTTACCTGCTTAGTTTATATAGTTGTCCTATAGCAGAAGTTAGGGTTGCCATATTTCAAAAAGTGAAAATCCAGACAGAAAAGTTGTTGAGCAAAATCGCAAAGAAATTGGATGTTTTTGAGCTATTTCTGAGGGAAATCTGCAAAAAGGACACTGCCGATTTCCCCAGACATTTCGCCAATTTCTGCCCAGACACTCCTCTTGGCTGCAGTGTTCCGAATATGTCCGGGAAATTCAAGACATATGGCAAACCCTACAGAAGTACTCTAGGAGGCCAGTGTGGTGTAGTGGTTAAAGTGTTGGACTAGGACCTGGGAGATCAGGGTTCAAATCCCTACCCAGTCATTAAGCTCCCCAGGTGACCTTGAGCCAGTCACGGCCTCTTAGCCCACCTCACAGGGTTGTTGTAGGGATTAACTGAGGAGAGAGATGAACCATGAACTCCTTGGAGAAAGAGGTTGGGATATAAATGCAATAAATAAGCTTTTCTGCTTACCCGCTTAAGAAAGCTGGAAGGGAAAGCCAGATGGAGATGTCAGTTGCCAACCTGGCATCCAGAGATCTCCACGTGGTCACAATCGGACCTGCACCAGTTGCAAAATGGGCCTGGTGTCAGGCTAATTTCTAACATGGTAGTAGAGGTGCATGTACTAGCTAGGGGTCTTTGGTGGATAGGGAGTTTGGTTAGCTAGCTTTTTTTTTTAAAGTCTGGGGGAGGCAGGCTGTTTGCATATGTTGCAAAACAGGGGATAGTTCCTTAATTTTTAAAAAATGGGGGGGGGGGAGGGAGAACAGCCTCATACTATTTTCTCCACAGTGTTTTCGTTGCCTGTCATGCTGAATGCAAACATCAGAATGACAAACTGATTGGCTAGATCATGGGCTCTTTATTATGTCCTGAGCTTGTTTTAAGATATCTGTTACCTTAAGTAATGCTGTGTCTGACATAACATGACCCAATTGATACTGTGCCATACTTCTTCCATTTGGCATAACTACAGTTTCGTAACCCCACTTAAAATCCTTTAATCCCATGCCCTTAAAAGTAATGGGTCAAAAAACAGCTGATCTGGGATTGGCAGATTAACAAAAAAATAGAATTACTTCAAAGTAGAAATAGTAAGAAGCAATTTATCCCCTTCGTCCAAAATAGCCAGATTAAAAAAGTGTATTCAAAACATTTCTCTTTTCTGACCAAGCTGACAAATGCAGCTTTCTTATGCATGCATATTCAGGAAGCAAGTCCAAATGTTATCAGTGGGTCTTACTCCCAGGTAAGTGTTTATAGGAATGTGAGTAAGACCCATAAACTGGGGTGACTTGTTTTGAAGTAAACATGCAAAGGGGTTGTTCACAGCATAGCTCTGAGCTTAAGGTAGATGGTCATGTTCTTTCTTCCCTCCTTCAATCTGGTCCATCTTGCTAGGTCCAGAACCTATTATCAGTGCTGAGAACATAATTATCTAGGAACCGAGAGCCTGAGGAGAAAAATGCATGCAGTTCTACCTCCCTTTTTTCTTAAGAGATAAATAGTTGTAGTTTGGGTCACTGCAGTTTAAGAAGGATATCAGCAAACTGGAATGTATCCAGAGGAGGATGTCAAAGATGAAGAGGGGCCTGGAGATAAAGTCCTCTTTGGGAAGGTTGAAGGACTAGGGTATGTTTAGCCTTGAGAAGAGATAATTAAGAAGGATTGTGCCATTCAGATACTTGAGGATGGCTATCACATTGTTCAGTGTTTCTCAAACTTTCTTCTCTGGGCCACACTTTCTGAATATAAATTTGCTCACACCACACTGAATTTTTTATTGATAAGAAATACATTGGAAAACAAAAAGAAGCAACTCCTAGCAGTGCTTGATTTATAACACAGGACACAACTATTTTGTAATTGCCATCTTCTCCTGCCACACCAGTGTAGCGCACTACACCCTTTGAGAACCACTGACATAGATGATGGAGCAAATCTGTTTGGTGTTGTCCTAGAGATCAGACTCCAAAAGCAGGTAGCTAAAATATAAAGTATTCTGTCTAAACACTAGGAAGAACTTCCAAACAGTATAAATTGCTACCATTATCATCATAATATAGTAGACTTGTAAGTTGCTTAATACACAGAGGTTTCCAAACGAATTGAAACATACTTACCGTATTTTTCGCACCATAGGACGCATCGGACAATAGGACGCACCTTGTTTTAGAGGGGAAAGAACAAGAAAAAAAAATTCTCCCCCTCTCTGCCCAGCGCCCCTTCAGCGAAGCGGCAGGAGGCGCTGCGCAGAGAGGGGGAGAATTTTCCCCCTCTTGTTTTCCCGCTCTAAAACAAGGTGCCATTTAAGGTGCGTTCAGGCGGCTACCTTGGAGCCTGGAGAGCGAGAGGGGTTGGTGCGCACCGACCCCTCTCGCTCTCCAGGCTTCAGGTTCCTTTCGACCTGCTCTTTGGGGCTGGCGGGGGGAAGCCCACCACCAGCCCCAAAGAGCAGGTCAGGGAGCAGCGGAAAGGCGCAGCGGAGAGGCTGCTGCCATAGTCGCGCGTCACTTCTCCCGCTGGGAGAGGGTCGCGGGGCTATGGCTTCTTTTTTTAAAAAAAATGATATTTATTGAGAATTTTAAGGTTACAAAGAAATAAGAAGGAAAAACCAAGAGCAAGAAAAAAGGAAAGAAAAAAGTAGATAAAAGTAACAATTAAACAATACAAATCAATAAAAACCAAAGTCAAAAAGAAAAAACAAAACACACAATACATCAAAATCAAAAAGCAAAAATAAACAAAAAAATTAAAAACAAATCCAATATTCCCAGATCCTTAACTGTCATTACCTTATTTCATTTTTTTTTTATATAATTTTTTTATTGATTTTACAAACAAGTTTTATACAATACAAACAAATAAAAAGACATACAAACATGTATAGTTTCATAACCTTTTTTCATAACCCTCTCTTCTCAGACTCCCCAAACCTCCCCTTCCTACATCCCAATTCCCAAAATTATTTCAGCAAATTCTAAATAATTTTATCAAATATATTTTTCTTATTTTTTTTTCTTCAACTTAATCTTATGTCGCTGTAATCTCCTTTTCTTTCTCCAAACCTCGACATTTTAACATTCCTCTATTTTATGATAGTTCTTTAGATAGATTTTAAATTTCTTCCAATCTTCTTCCACCGTCTCTTTCCCCTGCTCACGGATTCTGCCAGTCATCTCCGCCAATGTCATATAGTCTATAACCTTCATCTGCCACTCTTCCAAGGTGGGTAGTTCTTCTGTCTTCCAATACTTTGCGATGAGTATTCTTGCTGCTGTCGTAGCATACATAAAAAAAGTTCTGTCTTTCTTTGATACCAATTGGCGGCAATGCCCAAGAGAAAGGCCTCTGGTTTCTTCAGGAAAGTACATTTAAGTACCTTTTTAATTCATTATATATCATTTCCCAGAAAGCCTTAATCTTTGGGCACGTCCACCAAAGGTGATAAAAGTACCTTCAGTTTCTTTACACTTCCAGCACTTATTATCAGGCAAATGATAAATTTTTGCTAGCTTGACTGGAGTCATGTACCACCTATAGATCATTTTCATAATATTTTCCTTTATGGCATTACATGCCGTAAATTTTATACCGGTGTTCCACAACCATTCCCAGTCAGCAAACATAATGTTATGACCAATGTCCTGTGCCCACTTAATCATAGCTGATTTAACTGTTTCATCTTGTGTATTCCATTTCAGCAGCAAATTATACATTCTTGACAAGTTCTTAGTATTGGGTTCTAACAGTTCAGTTTCTAATTTTGATTTCTCCACCTGGAAGCCAATTTACCTTATTTCATCGACCTCCTCGCACCTCCTTTTTTTCTATTCTAGTTATTAATTATCTCAGCAAATCCTTTCCATCTTTCACAATATTCTGTCATTAAATTACCTTAATCTATTTTAACCTTATCTTACCATAAAAAGTCCTAAAACTTAAAACTTAAATCTTATTTATACCAAATTCTCTTAACCATTACATATTCTTACATAATTCTTTTTAACATTTGTGCTAAAGCCCAATAATTTCATTCCAACATTTTTCTAATACTCATTAATTTTACAATACTTTTCTAAATGAATTTTTAAAACTTTCTTCCAATCTTCATCCATTGTCTCTTCTTCCTGGTCTCGGATTTTGTCAGTCCTTTCTATCCCATCCATCTAGTCCATCAACCTGGTGACCTTATGTCCGAGGCTCTTAAGTCTCTTCCATGTCCCTTCCGCAGGTCTTCTTCATATTTATACCTGTACTTTACTTTGTCTTCTGCTCCTTTTACTCGGGGAGACTCCAGCTTGACAATATTTTTGTCCCTTCTCGAGAAGTCAGCCCCTTTTCCTTAGTCAACACTGAAATCCACGTGGTATTTGAAGGCATGTTTCAAGGCCCCTCCAAAGTTAAGGGCCCCCACAACTCCGAGCTCCCCCCAGCCCAAAGCCAGACTTGAAAAATCAAAACATCCCTGCATAGGGGGGCTCCATCCAGCCCCCCACCTCCAAGCCAAACAGAGCTCCATCTCTCCAAATCTGACTTTTTCCAGGTTCATTCATCAAATCCAACTACTCATGTTCCTGCTGGGCCACAGCTCCCTCCATCTCTGCCGCCCGGGGTCCAGCAACAGCCCCCTCCTTCATCTCATCTGTCAAAGCACATTCCTGGATTAATTCCTGAGTGGGTTCTATATAGGTACCCACTGCCTGTCCAAAATTTCCGATCGCAACAGTCATCAAATCCATCTTCTCATGTAACTGTTCCAATAAAGCACTTGTCTTGCAAAAGGCAAGCACCAGAGCCTCCGAGTACATTCTTGTTCAAGGTCGAAGTCTGGTCCCACAATCTTAATCTATTACAGCTGCAAAGCTCCCCAGTTCGGTTTTAATAACAGTTTCACAAGCTCCCTCTAGGGGAAACAATTTCTTTTTGTATCCATCCTTTTTTTTTTTTTTTTAAAGCAGATCTAGCAACAAAGTTTTCCTTTTTCGGATATTTTGTCAATATTTTGTTCCTTTTAAATGCGAAGGGGAACAATGGAATCAATATGTTTCTCTTCTTTTAACTATCTGTCAAAAACGTTTGTCCATTGTCAATGAACTTCCCCAGAACATCTGTCCTGACACCCCGCTCCCAGGTTCAAGACGGTGGAAAATTGCCTTTCTTTACTCTCTCTCCTGCAGGTTTAAACAGTCTAAAAAAGGGTTCCCCCCTCTTCTCCTGCTTCCAAGGGGGGTTCAGTAATTTTAAATGATGAAATTTTGGTCCTTTACAGACGACTTTCTAAACTCTAGCTTGCCGTGTCTTTGCTTCAATCTATCTACAAAAGCGGAAGGCGGACTTCCTGTTTAGACCTTCCCGCTTCAGTGCCAAATTAAAAAAATTCTTAATCCAATTTTCCGTTCTACTCACGGGCAGTTGTTTAAAATCCAATTGTCCACAGGAAAAAGTCAGCGCTCTCCGGCAACAGCAATGCGGCTTCACTCCGTGAAAGAAGCAGTCGATTCAAGGCACCGCGCCACTTACCCCATGTCGCTCCGGATCCCCGAAACTGGGTTTCCCCGCGAGTGGGGGGGCGTAAAGGTGCCAGCCGAATTCCACGTCCACAGGCTTCTCCCGCCTGTGGTTTTTGATGGGTCTCCGCCTCGCCGTGGCGGTTCAGACCCTGTTTTCCACGGAGCGGATTCCTCCCGATCGGAGGAAATCCGCCATTGCCAGAGGCGCCAAGCTGGAAGTCCGTGGGGCTATGGCTTCTTTAGCCCCGCGCGCGCTCTCCCGGCTGGAGAGGTGATGCGCGGCTATAGAGGCTCCTGCCATAGCCGTGCGTCACCTCTCCAGCCGGGAGAGGGTTGTGGGGTGCTTCTTGAGCCGCGCGTCACCTCTCCAGCCGGGAGAGGGTCGCGGGGCTATGGCGTCTTCCCTCCATAGGACGCACACACATTTCCCCTTCATTTTTGAAGGGGGAAAAGTGCCTCCTATAGAGCGAAAAATACGGTAAAAACAAAAACAAAAATACATTGGAACGTTAACGCATTCAGAAAGAAACATGCATTTCATGAAAAATATACACAGCAACACCTCCCCCCCCAATAACAGCTGCCAGAAGCTTTGGTAGCACACAAACAGACACAGCATCATCTTCATAATCTATCAAATGTCTGAGAAAAAAATGTATTTTATTACCTGGTACCAAAACTATGTCAGTAGAGGCACCAAGTGGACCTCACTGGGAGAGCTTTCAGCAGTGGAACAAACTGCTTGAGAGGAAGGTGGGCTTTCCTTAGTTAGAAACTGTTGAAGTTATAGTAGTAGTGGATTTCCTGCATTGGCAGGGGTTGAACTGGATTATCAAGGGGTAAATTGCAGAGGGAAGACCCTCTAGACCAGACCTGGTTGCTTGGGAACTATTTATACTCACTAGATAACCAGGTTTGTGGCAGTTTTGAAGTTTGGGGTTGGGGAGGGATAATTTGAATGAGAAGGGAGGTAAGAAGGAGGGCAGGGGTCAATCAGGTATTATAGCAGTGCCACAAGGGTTGTTTCTGATTTTCCATTCCACAGTGGTTTTATATTTGGCTAGGTGAACTTTAACTTAAGAAAAATCTAGTCATTGTGTTATTATTTTTCTTCTGTTCAGTCTAATACACCACTTCAGGTTTATACTCGCTTTTCTATTTGGCTAGAATTAGCACTTAGTTCTTACCAGCTTGTCTAGCTCTAAACTGATTCCATGTTTCCTTATTGCTAGAGAGTGGAACGAAGACCAGGAAATCAGAGTGCCTGGTGTTTTGCACGCTCCACATGCTTCATTGCAGCTTGTTCTCATTACTTCTCAGAGTTCCTACCTTAGCCAATGCTATCTGTAGATTTTTCTGTGATTTTGGGCATAGTTGGACTGCCTCTTTAGCTGTTCCGAGGCTTGTACAGGAGGAGAGCCGCAAATCCCTCCCTGCTGTGTATTGGGGGGCGGGTGGCTGGGAATTTCCTGGCAGCCTGAGCACTTCATACAATGAATCCTTTCATTGCAGTTCCAGGAACAGGGCGGATGCCAGACCAGTTCGTGACCTTGAACATGAAGCATGGAGTAGAAGCAAAGAACTACGAGGAGGTACATCTCTGCTTTTGCTGCCTGTGCCTCTTGATTCTCTTCCTGACACTCACGTGACAACTGTATGTGGCCTTGAGGCTCACAGTTCAATGCTGTTTTCCCAGTCTCCCTGATTCCTAGGGCTTCCCTGAGTGAAGCGCTCATCTAGAACAGTTTTTTTGAAGTTGCTAAACACATTTTAGGGAAGAATCTGCTGCTTGGCAAGGAATTTATCAGCTACGAAGCTGAATTTATTCGGAAAACAGGATATCTAGCATTTTTTCGCTCAGAGTGGCCAGCCAGATGTCTACGGCAGGCCTGCAAGCAGGACCCAAGTTGAACAGAACTCCCTCAGCTTGCAGTTTCAAACAACTAGCATTCAGAAAAATACTGCCCCTAACACTGCTGACATTGCATGAAGCTACCTTGTACTTTGTTGGACTACGGATCCATCTAGCCAAGTATTTATGGCTCTCTTAAAAGCTCAGAAAAGGTCTTTCTAGGGATGCCAGGGATTGAAACTTCAGTCTTGTGCATGCAAAGGGTAATGCATAATTCAGTAGTAGTGCATTTTCTTTGCACGCAGAGGGTCTTGAATTGGTATCTCCAGTTAAAAGGATCTCGGGCAGGAAGTGCTAGGAAAGACTCCTGTCTGAGATCTTTGAGACCTGATACAGGACTATATGGATCAGTACTATCTGACTGGATAAGACAGTTTCATTTGATTCAATCCAGACGAAAGTAACTCTCATACGTTCAGAGTACTAAGGTATGACCTTTCCGTTTTTATACTGCTTTTTGATGGCCATGAACCCTTTTCTTACATTTCAGTTCCTTTCCTGCACAGACTGGGATAGGAGCATGATACCAGTCTAAGATAAACATGTCAGAATTGCTTTATTCACAATTTCCCCCAATGTAGAAAGCGATTATCTCATTGCAAGGAGAAATTTATTGTTTCATATATAGCTTTTACAGCTGATTGGGTGCATTCATGGATAGGTCTATCAATGGCTAATAACATATGATCACTAAATAGAGTTTCCCATCTTTAGAGGCAGTATACTGGGATAGACAGTGGCAGGGAAGGACCATTGCTCTCGTGCCTTGTTGGCATGCTTTGTTAAGAGAGTCAAAACAGAAACCTATTTCGTTTTTGTTGTTGGAGACTAAAGGTGCTTCTGAATGCTGTTTTCCCTTGTATTGGTATACTTAAATGGGAATGAGGGGGCACTTAATAAAATATATTATGAGTGCAGAGGTCTGGTACTGTGCTGATTTGGGGGTCCATTTGGACTAGCAGAAAACAGCAGGGGAATCAGTGCAATCCTTATGCATGGATTGCATATGTCAGGAGTGCAGATTCTTTTTACAGCTATGTAATCCTAAAAACATATCCTTAATGAGAGAAGATGTCGGTTTAACAGACGATTGGAGTCCAGTAGGCACCTGCGACAAGGTATATGGGCGAGAGAGCAGAGGCTAGTAGCTAATAGCTGACCTCATGAATTGAGATACTTTTCAGGATATTGAGATTTGTGCAAAAACTGTTCCCAGCTTTTCAGTATTTTTCTCTTGCTAAACAGAGCATTGGGTTTTTTTCCTTTCTTTCTGCATCCTTGCTTATGAAAAACCAAATCCAAGCAAAAAAGTGACAGAACTTGTAAAGTTCTCCTGAAACTGTCAGATTCTGCTTGGTAGAGTTATGGCCATGTAGCTTCCTAAGCCTTGATTTTATCATTCAGAACTAAAACATGAGAGGATTATTTAATCCAGTAATTTAGCTACCGGTGAATTACGAAAAGCTGCTGTTTGCTGTCTCTCAAGGTTTGACTGCCCCCTTGTGGCCTTGCAATGAACAGCCACCATTGTAGTAAATCTACTGTCCTATGATTTGTTCTGTTACAGGGGTGAGTGGCCTCGATGTCATTTCTCTACCTGGCCCACTGCCCTCTCAGGCTCTGCCCCTCTCCTCACCTCCACCCACTCCTCTTGTGCCCTGCTGTGATGAACTGTCACTGCCCAGCTCCACTGCAGCTACATTAAACCCCTTGCAGTTTGAACTTGTGGAAATGTTAAACCCATTACTGTATTCGGATATAGCTCCTCCAACTATGCTGCTCTTCCCAAACAGCTTTTCTGGCTGCATGAGACTTGTTTTCTGTGCTACAAACGAATATGCTTATTAATTTAATTTTTTACAAGATTATTTAAATGTTAATTTTAAAGTGCCTAGAGGCCACCAAGCTGAACTAGAAAAAAGGATACAGTGCACCCGCTGCTATTGTTCATAAGTCAGAAAAATCAGGACAACGTAGAACAAATTATTTTTTAAATAATTGACAAAGGAGGGAAGTACGGATACATTGCCCTTCTCCATAAATGGTTATTATAGGCAATGGAGGGAAATGAAACAGGAAATCACTGCTTCCCTTGCTTGTGAATCATCCTAGTGCCTTTACTCTCATTGGCCAGACATCAGAGGGTGGGTTTACTAAATCTTTGGTAGCATATTTCCTGAACAGGGATGTATGGTGCAACTTGGAGAAATATGTAAGCAAAAAAGTTAAAAGAGATGTCCTTCCCATGCTTATTCAAAAGTAAGTCCAACTGTGTGCAGTGGAGGTTACTTGGGTAAATGTGTTTAAGGTAAGCGTCAGAGACTTACTTTGCTCCATTTTAAAAAACAACAACATAAAATAAAAAATACAGAACAGTGGCCTTCAACATTCTCAAAGCCAGGCACCATCTTTAATCCTCATCTGTAACACAGATTTTTTTTTACCATGTATGTCCATTTTTCTTCTTTCACAGTACTGTAGTGGCAAAGGAGGCTAGGACAGCGTGTTTCCTACTTCTGTTGTAGCAACAAAAATGCGGATTTTTAAATTAGGGGTTATATCCAGGCCCATGTGGGAGACACAGGGGCAGCCAGGTACACTTGCCCTGGGGGAGGCCTAAGAGGGCCAGGGGGCCCTGGCGGGCCGCTGTCATGCCAAAACCGACCCAGGCCTAAGACAAACTCTGCATGGGCCTGGTGATACCAGATTACTCTTAGGCTGCAGTCCTGTACCCATTTAGCTGGGAGTAAAGCACTGCAGTGGCTCCCTATATGCTCCTGGGCTCAATTCAAGGTGCTGGTGATTGTTTACAAAGCTTGGGCCCAGATACCTGCAGGAGCTCCTCATTCAATGCAAGCCAATTCAGTCCTTAAGATTGCCCCCCACCAGGGTTTAGAGTAAAAGGATGTATATATGGGCCTTCTCTGTAGTAGGTCCCCTACTCTGGAATAATCACCCTTAGCGATGCAACAGTCCCACATTGTGAGGTTTCAAATGCTGATTGAAAACATCTTTATTTGCTCAGGCTTTTGTAGTTTGATAAGTAAGAGGTGTACTCCTCCTGCATGCATATCTGTTCTTAATTAATCTACAAAATTTATTAAATGTTTCTTGTGCTGTCCATGTGGAGCAGCAAAATGAGAATCCTCTCACCAAACATTTTGTGCTCCTCTGAAATACCTCTTCTTGAAATTTGTCCAGAAGTGTAGTGTAAAATGAAAACCAATTTGACACTTGCACCATAGAGAATGCAAATGAAAAAACTGAAAACGCTTGGTTAGACATCCATATTTGCTATATGGAGAGGCTACCATCTTGTTAAAAGGTTGCCTTTGCACAGCTTTGGGCATGTATCTCCCCTCCTGGAAAATGCAAATATGGGTGTTTAATTATAAATTTGGTGTGTATGTTCAATATTTATTTATTTACATTTATTTACTGCTTGATTGTTTTAAAACAAGAAACTATCAAAGTGGTTTTGTCACTGGTTTAGGCACTGGAAAATTTCCTAACATCTCTAAGAGATTAAGGATATTGGAGATTCTGTTGGCTGAAAAATTATGGCTTTGTTGACCTCAAAAATCTGCTGTGAAGGCTTCCAGATGACTATTTTAGGTTACCCAGGAGGGGAGATGCATGCCAAGGCACTGAAAAGGAGGCAATTGAACAAGAAGACATCCTCCCTGGTTACGAACAGCAGATGAGGATGTCTATTCAAGGCTCTCCCTCCGCCCTCCCCATTCTTTCATTTGCATTCTCTGTGGTGCAAGTGGTTAGTTAGTTTGGTTTTGATTTTGTCGCTAGAGACTATGCCACAGACAGGACTGTTTGCATCAGGACTCTCTTTTCAAGTGATGGGAACACAATCTTATTCTGCCTGTGATTTTCAGTCTCTGTCTCTCTTTTTCACAGATTGCTAAAGTAGAGAAGCTGAAGCCACTGGAGCTGGAGCTGCGACGCCTGGAGGATCTTTCAGAGTCTATTGTTAATGACTTTGCCTACATGAAGAAGCGGGAAGAGGAGATGCGGGACACCAACGGTACGTACTCGAACTCAGGGAGTAATATTGTTGTTATGTTTCTCTCACTAATGCATATGGTTGGGGATAATGTTACCATGATGCTTACTTGATACCTGCTAGTGTAGACAAGGCTGTCTGATGCATCATCTATCAACTTATAAACATACTGTTAGGATCACCGGAATGTTTCACCACCGCTGTTATGCTGCTATGCTCATAAGCTCCCTTTCAACCAAATCTACTAGAGTCATGGCACTCCCTTCTCTTTACACTCGCTTGGGATTCTTGTTATCATCTGCAGCCAGGACTGTTCTTATTTGGCCCCAAGAAAATTCAAATTCTGTGTGCAGAATGTAATGGGCAAAATTTTATTTTGTACTTATTTGTGTAAGCAACTTCAGTGTGTATTTTACTCTGATTAGCTTTTGTAGAATTTTGACTTTCCCCCCTTCCAGTGGGAAGTGTAGGTATAGGCAAGAGGTTGGCAGCAGAGGTATAAAAATTCTATGGTGAAGGAACCAATATTCATGTGTGGCAGACAGGCTCCATCTGTGAACACCAAAGCCTTTCGCAAGAACCCCTGTATAATTATAGTACAGTGGTACCTCGGGTTAAGTACTTAATTCATTCCAGAGGTCCATTCTTAACCTGAAACTGTTCTTAACCTGAAGCACCACTTTAGCCAATGGGCCTCCCGCTGCTGCTTCCGCGCCGCCGCCACGCGATTTCTGTTCTCATCCTGAAGCAAAGTTCTTAACCCGAGGTACTATTTCTGGGTTAGTGGAGTCTGTAACCTGAAGCGTATGTAACCCGAGGTACCACTGTAATAGAAATGGTAATAATTTCCGCCTGCACAGTTTTCAAATTTCAGTAGCCATGACAGAGCATCTTGAGTTGCCCTTTTTTTTAACTGAATGAAAGCTGAGCCTTTTTTGGATCCACTTGGCCCACAGTTCAAAGAGCTTATCTTTCTGGTACTTAGTTTTATATGAATGCTTCAGATGAAAAGATGATGGTTTGGGGGGTTGAAGGCATTGGAGGGCTGGCTTAGGGATTCTTGCCATTTGTTCTGAGTAACAAGCTTTTTGTTTTTTGTTTTTCCCGTTTCAGAATCTACCAACATTCGAGTACTATACTTCAGCATTTTTTCGATGTTCTGCCTCATTGGACTGGCTACCTGGCAGGTCTTCTATCTGCGTCGTTTCTTCAAGGCCAAGAAGCTGATTGAATAGGGGCAGTTTCCCCTCTTTTAAACCCCAGCAGAACAACAGAGACCCAACTATGGCCTTTTAGAGCCACCTCAGGGTTGACCTGCCAAACAGAGCTTTTTCTGCAATGGCTCCCCAGGGGGAGGGAGGGAAATACTGGTATAGAACACGGTCAAGATGCTTCTGAACTATTATTGGATAGACATGGAAGACGGTGGGAGTTGTGATTTTGGGGACTCTTGGACAGGGATGAAATAAAACTGTCAGGACAGCTGTGGTTGGCTCTTACGCTGTCTTTTTCTCTCCCTTACAAATGAGGTCAGGTGACCTCTTCCTGTATGTCACCAGATTGATCCTCTAAGCCACTTGAATACATCCAATTTGTTAAACTTTCAGCATTCTATCTCTTACCACAGAGTTTTGAGAGGGAGCCACTCGGAGTCAAGCATCCCAGAAGCAGATCTTGTTGCCAATTGATCAGTAGCTACACTTTTGGAGTGGAGAAGGAACTGCCAGTGGCATTTGTCTGTCAGAATATTTGATATTTTTATGTGTAGAAGCAGGAAGGACAGTTGGAAAATAACTGAGCTGTGTTGTTTAAATTACAGAAGAAAGGCTTTATCTACAAATGCTCTTGTTTTCATCCTATCCCATTCTCTGAAGTCATTGCTTCCCTTATTCTAAAATGAAGCAGTTCTTGAAAGCACCTTGGATACTGTGAAAACCTATTTTTAATGGTAAGAGGCACCAGCTTGATGCATACTTGAATACACAGTTGGGTTAATCCTTAGGGGAGGGGGATAGGTCTCTTCTCCCTCACCCCCATGGGCGATATAAAACCATGTCTTCTACCAAAGATAGAAGTTGGGGCAATCTTAGACCTGCATTTTAATGAACTTGTAAGTTATATCCAGATGCTTATAACCCACCATATAGCCCTGGGGAGTCTGCCAGGGTTAATTACCCCCATATCAACCCTGAATTACTGGCACAGCTGGGGACCGTTCGTGTGGGAGGCAGCCATTTCCCACAGTAAGAAACCAGAAGTTATTTGGATGCAAAATGGCAGGCAGGTGAGTCAGTGGGAGCAACTGTAGATGAGCTGTAGTGTCATTTCAATTTTTAAGACATTTGTGCCTTTTCTGGGCTCTACAAGTTTCAGGGCTTATAGCAGCAACAAATACATCATCCCTGACTCAAAGCATATCAAGTTTCAGATCAGTGTATCACAAAAAAGTCTTGGGTCCCAACTTAAATTCACAAATAAATCTTAATGTCCCCTCCTTTCCCTTGCAGGCACTTATGTCCCCTAAAAAGCCCCTTGGCCCTTGGCAGGGTTGGGGCCCCCTCTTGAACAACACAGGATGATACACCAGGGGAAGTGGGGAAATCACCCCAAATCCATTTTGAATCCTAAGGATGTTTGTGAAGGGGAAGTTTCCCATCCTTGTCTCCCCTCCCTCAGCCACCCTCCCACTCCCCATCCCACACTGAAAAACCAGGGGATACTGATAGTGGCCAGTGGAGAAGGCAGAGGGAAAATGTCCTTCTACAAATTTCCTTAAGCCTAAATGTTGAGAGCTAACTACACCGATCAGAAACGCTGGAACTTGTAAAATGTCTCTTCTCCCACTGCCCAAAATTACTGTTGTGAGTTTTGCCTTCATGTGTCCAGTGCTGCTTTTAAATTCAGAGCTTAAGACCTTTCCTGCTTATCTTTTTTTACTTTGGAAACAGTTAATAAATAGAAACTGTGCTGGAAGATTGTGCTACAGATGTAGTGAGTACTTTGGGGCTCCTCTTTTTAGACTCCCATAGCAAATTTTCTACAGTTCAAAGCAAAAGCATCTTTTTGGTACCCTGTTGGCCTTTCATTTTAATTTGCCACTACTTTGCCAATGAGAAATGACCTTTTTTGATGGGTTATGTGACGTCTTGAGAACCATTAAACTTTAGTCTTAGTGGTGTAGTTTGACATGGCTTCACTTCTAACTCGTGGTGTAACTGAAGCTGAGTAGAACGGCCAGCGGAAACCTGTACAGACTTACCTGTAACAAGCGGGTTGGGGATTTGTCAATTTTTCTCAATAAAAGTTTTTGCAGGGGGGACATGCTCTCCAGTGCGGTGTCTCTGTAAATCTTTCAAAAGTTTATGCATTAATTTACTTAATCAGTTATTTCCTTCTAGCATCTGTTACTTAAGTAGATTGTTTGTTTGAAAAAAGCATTTCTAAACTGTTAATTTGAAGCGGTGTACAAAATTGCAAGCATAAAATAATAAAAGAGAAATCTAGTAAAAACAGGATCAAGCATTATAGATCAGGATTAAAAAGGCCTGGGTGAAAGTCTTATCTTTACAAGACACCAGAATCGTTTCTGTACTGTGCTTCAGTGTACAGATATAATAACTTACCTCATTTATCATCCCCACCAAGAGAGGCTTACGATTAAGTAGGAACTTGAACCTAGAACCCTACAACGAAACCCAAAGCTTTACCCAGAATATTATACTGACCCAAATAGCAAGCTCAACCATCCCTAGTTCTTAACATTAAATGGTTTTCAAGTTGTAGAGCAAAGCATGGTAACCTCTTTGCCAATAAATCAGTTATCTCTGGAAGGGTTAATTAAAACTAAAAGCGACTTCTCTGGATAATCGTATTAGAACGCAGAAAACTCTTCATGTTTGCTAGATCTCAGCCTAGTCCCTGCCTAAAACACTTTCTGCATCTTCTCTCTATTAAACTACTTTTGAGTTTCCTGAAGGAAGAGCAGCATGTCTGTGTGTGTTAAGTCAGTGACGGCAAACCTGATTGGTCTTGGCCTTGGTGGATGGAGCCATTGCACACAATTAGCACATCTGATATGTCAGTTAATAAAATTAGCTGAAGGAATGCTAGCAGCTTGATGTCTGGGGTGCTTGTGCTAGCAGCAAGCCTTATGAGGGAGTGGGAACTGATTTGTATCCGTGTTGCTTTGGAACAGGAGTTGATTCTGTATGGATTGTGTGAAATTCAGCACAATTGTGCATTTCCCCCATATGTGTATATGGTGTATGTTTACCAGGTTTCCAGGCTGCCTAGTTCCAGCTGTAAACAACAGCAACCTTAAAACAGAGCTTGCATGGCACTTCTAACGCTATCTTAGAGCACTTGCTTTGGGGTAAAAAACAGTTACATTTGAAGGAACTCAACCCTGCTGCTGGATGTAGTGTTACTTAACGACATTCCAAGGTGCACTGCATGGGGATGTTGACTGGGAATGGCAGTTGAGGATGGTAATAAAGTGTTTTCCCCCTCGCAGCACTCAACTGACTTTCAATCACAGTTGACTGAAGTGAAAGATTACAAATCTGAATGCAGGTTGTTTTCAAAGGAGTTTGCAACCTGATAACTGGGAAGTCGGTGAAATCCATCCTTCTGTGTGTATCAAGTTTAGTCTCATTGCACAAAGAACTTGCATTGCAGGTTACAACTAGCCTGCTTTTGAGCTGCCTTCTCTAGACTACCCTATTTGAATAGTGCCGAGTCAAATACCTCCGAGGGCTTGTTCAGTCAGATGTGAAGAAGTCTAGTTTGAAAGTACAATGTGAGAGCTTTAAGAAGGGGAAATTCCCAGCATCTTCAAGTTAGCACACTCTGTCCACTTGCCCTTGCTTCAAGTAAGTGCTGCAAAGCTGTTTTCTAACAGTTAATATTCTGAAACAGGAGTATGACTCAAGTTCCACAGATAAGGTATGCTGGATTTGGTAGTGGTTTAGGAAAGGCACTTTGTGCATGTTCAGAGGCACCAGTGACCCAGGACTGAAAACATCCAACCAGCCTTTGTTGGCTTTTTGCAGTATGGTAGCGCTGCAGAGAGCTTGCTGGGGAGACCATGCATTAAAAAGGGACTCAAAAATAATTTAAAAAAGTTTTTAATAAGAAAACAAAAACTCATTTTACACTAAATACATTAACAAACAAACATGACCCAACCACCAACCCATCCCCAGGGTAATGGGAGAGCTAGGTGCTGCTCCTTATATACTACACCCAATTACCAACACAGCTTAATCAATACAACTCAGCAGCACCTGCTATGTTTCACAGCTGTAAAGCTGGGTCTCGTTATTTTGCTCTGGCCCTTTCTCTGGCCCCTTAAAGACATACACATCGAGTGGAACAATGATGAACCTTTACATATTAAACCATTCAACATTTCCCTGCGGTTCATCATTGTGGAACAAAAACATAAAGCATACTTTGTACATGTTTTTCATGTATACCTTTTGGAAGTGCTTTAGTAAAAATGTCTGCAATTTGATTGTCACCTGGAACATATTTAAATACAACCATTTCATCAGCAATTAGTTTCTTTACAAACTGTAAACGTAATCTTAAGACTTTAGTGCGCTGCGTATTGGTTTCTGAACATAGGATAGCGAGTCCACTCTGGGAATCAAGGTAAACTTTTACTGGTAGTGTTACTTGCATCTGTAGGTCTGCGAATACTTGCAGATACCATTCCACATCACGAGTGGCCTGAACACATGCACATAATTCACTCTCTGTTGTGGAGAGACAAATAATGGTTTGTGTCTGGGACTTCCATTCAAATGGACAACCATTATAACAAAACACCATACCAGACACACCCCTGCAATTATTTTGTTCCACTGCATGAGATGCATCACAGAAAATTTCAAAACCTTTGTCAATACATGTTGTAAACTGCAACCTATAATGTTTGGTATGTTTAAGGTACATTACCACTCTCTTAAGAGCAGAGAAACATTGTGTAGTGGGCTTTTCCACAAATTTTGCCAGAAAGTGAAAGGCATAAGTTATATCTGGTCTTGAGATTCTTTGAATGAAATTTAGCTTGCCTATAGCAGAACGATACAAAGTTTTGTTAGGAAATGGCTTATCTTCACCTGTAAAAGTGAAACCACACACCATGGGCGTTTCCTTCCCATTTGCATTTTCTAAACATAGCATTTCAACAAGATCGTCAATTTTTGCAGTTTGATGAACCAGAAAAGAT